GTCAAGGTGCTACAAACGTTCCAGGGTTAAGTACAGATTCCTAATCAGATATGTGTATCATATATGAATCATATATATATATATATCAGATAAAAAATCCCAACAAATCCCTAATGTTATGAGTACTCACAGCTTACTGACATCTGGATACACTGAGAGAACTGGTTCTGGTAATATTGCTTAAGAAACCAGGGTGACGGTATCTTTATACGCTTATGGCTTTCCATTGTCCTGTCATCCTACTGCCCATAGTGAAAGAATATGAAGGTGCAGAGGTGGCAGGAGCCAACCAGGCCAGCCCCAGGGCTCTGCAGGTGATGGACCTGCCAGACACAGAGGAGCCCTGCCTGTTGTACCATGCCCTCCCTGTTGCAATGCTGGTTGCGTGCATCCACCTGTGCCGCAGTTCTGAGGCACTCTAGATTATTCCCTGACCAATATTCAAGCATTTTGTACATCCTTCAAGTTGTGCAAGGGCACTTGAAGGGATCTTTCAGCATTGAGGTGCAGTTTCACAGGTGTAGTGGCGTATCCCTACTTATTCCCGCATACGTATTGGCTAGAGAGGGTTTAAAGAAGCAAACATGGATTAGCGGGTATTCCATGTGAACATTTAGGAAATTTAGCCTCTAGCCAGTGCTGGTGAAATGTGGATGAGTCTCAAAAGACATCCATGGCGATGACTGACCAGCTGATGGCTGGTACTTGCTATTGCATATGTTGTTTGTTGTTATGGTGTCTCCCTGTTAGTTCATTTATTTCAGGCTCACTGGTGTTGTTATGTTGAAGTCGTTTACATATCCGAGGCAGGAGTTGCCTCTGACATCCATGTGTCCACATATATTAAATATAAAAATAAGTCTTCAGTGGTACACAGAATTTATAAAGTGGATTTCTGTTGTGAGAGAAGTGATTGGGAGAGCCAGAAGGATTTTTTTACTGTGTATTCCACTACTGGAGCATGCTCTGCTGCCTATTTAAATATCATTAGAATCTTGACTTCTAACAAAGGAAAAGACTCAGGCTCCCAGTTTTTTCAGCTTCTGTTTGACTTTGCTGTCTGTCTACTGAAAACAAGCATAAAGCTACCTGATGTCTTTGTATAAATCCTTATTGTTTCATGTGGCATTTAAATGTGCATCTGTCATGAACTGAAATTATCAAGATCTTGCAATGAGATTGCAAGACCATTTCACAACTGTGCCATAACTAACTGTACTCTGAGATGAGTAGGAATCCTGCAAAATCCTTCTGGCTTATGACATGACAGCTTTCTGGGGATGAGCTCTCTTGCTTTCTTGCAACATTTACTTTTTTTATTGGTAGGTAATCCAGTACGGCCATTATAAATGGGGACATTGTGGCCACTCCGATTACCGTACATGTCTGACTGGGCCAAAAGTCTAATGGCAGGTTAGATGTTTTTGTCCCCACTTCTTGAGTGCATCAGCAGAGTTCAGCCTTTTATCCTGTCCTTTTTTGTAACAATGGGGGTGCAATAGCAGAAAAGTGATTTTCTTTGAACACTGGGAGGCTGCTTAGACAGAATCCTACACCTCCCTTTTCTCTCTGCCCTGTTGTTAAACCTTGGTTAATTAACTGCATATATTTTTCTTCACTTTTGCACCATGCTCCTCAGCAATTTGTCTCAGAGCATTTACAAAGGATTTAAACCCTTTTATCCTGTTTTCAAGAGGTGAGTTGGTGAAAATCCAATGGCATTAACAGGATAATGACAAAGCAAGGAGTAAAACCTAGAACCTGGGAATTCATTGGTGGTTTTCCTATGGCTTTATAGTGATTGTAGTCACGTTTTGCAAACTTTACTAGCATCTTTGTAGAACATGGTGTGTGGTCTGCTAGTAACCTTAAAAATTCACCATCTTCTTGCCAATGTATGAAGGGGAACCAGTGCCCAAGCCACTAGAGAGAAGGGCACATATAATCTTAGTAGGATTGGTGTCCTCTGCAGTTAAATACACATAGTTCTTTTACAGTCAGCATAGCAATTTTTTTCCCATCCACTTCCCAGAATGGTAAAAATAAACAGGGTATTGCTAGTGGTGGTTTTGGTGTTGCAAAGCACACAATTATTGAGTCCTTCCTCCAGGGTCCAGGCAGCACAGACTCTCATATGTTTGAGGGATAGATTTAGGTGCAGGTAACCAGTAGCATGATAGATATGTATATAGAAATCTGAGTAATACATGGCTTTGAGTAAGATGGAGTTCTGAAGGGCAAAATCCAATTTATTTTTTTTTTCCAGGAGAAATACCACATTCTGTTTACAGATCCTTTCTGTGTATTTGGCCAGACTTGTCCCTTATAAGTCTTTTGCTCTGAATGGAATCAGGACAAGAATTTTACTCAGCCTCTAGTGGTATTTGTTTTGTGAGCACTGGCTTTTAGACCATGGTTAACAGATACTCAAAGGACAGCTCTTCTCTGAGCTTTTTTTAATTGCTCATTTAAATTCATATTTAAATGTGGTTTCTTTTTTTTTAAGTGCTATTTGTTTGTGATCTGAAATGTTCTAGACATTGAAAACTAGAATTAATATAATGTATTTAAGTCACTATTCTATTCATGTAAGATCACTGGGATTTCATGGGCCTTGAAATAGATAACAAGGGCAGATCTAGAGCCTGGGACTGGCAACAGAATTTGCATTATCTGAACTGTTATCTCATTGGAGATTCCACCTCCCTCATGAACCTAATTGGAAAAAAATATAAGAGGCATATGAGATGTTAATTATATCGCTTTGTGCCCTGGAAGGTGCGGAGCCTGTTGGGAAGCACAACTGGCAGAAGTTCCAGCTGGGCCACGGGACCAACTCTGGTAAGTGTTCCTGTCCTACCTTTTTCACAACAGGGTGAAGTAACTGACTGAGCAGAGGGCATGTTTTACAGATATTTGATTTGCTGTGGCAATCAAGGTCATAATTGCCAAATGAGAAAGCTTGGTGGGAAGGGGTTGCCAGGTGCAGAGCGAATGCCTTATGTTATCTTGTTCCATTTGTCAGCATGCCACAGGTTATAGGTATACAGGGAAGTATTACTAACCATTCTTCCTGCCTACTTCTGGCTTATCTTCATCTCAGTCTCATCTTTTCCTTGCAAATATGAGCTCTTAGCCCTTTATGACCAACAATTTATTTTGTCACTACATATTCACGATTCATTTGAAATAGAGTTATCCTTACAGATGCCTTAATGAAGCCTAAACAAGACTGATTCACACAAAAATGAGGCATTCTTGCCTAGGAAAAGCACCAAAAAGACAAAACCAAGGAAATCTGAATTCTGATGGTGAATCTGGTGTAATTGTGAAGCAAAACGTTTTTGGTGTTCTTCTGTTTCTGTGTCATTTTAGTCAGTTAAGGGAATATTTTCTTGACCCAAACTACTACTTCCAGTCTTATTAACTGAAATACATAAGTTCTTTCCAATGATAAAACAACCAAGTCTAGTTATGGATGGACTGCTTTTTAAATTGTGCTACTCTGTAATGTATCCTGGAGGGTTTCTGCAGTTCTTTAGTGGAAATCTCTGGACGGTATGAAATGAGGTGAAATGGAGAAGGAAATATATACAGATATTTCTTTTAAAGACAGATCAGTTTAGATCTCTCTTAAGCAGGAAGCAAAAGCTTTCCAGCACATTGAAAACTCTCACTTTGCAAATCACTTTGAAGAAGAAAATATATTTTAACAATTTAATACGTGTCTAAGACAAGTTTACAAAACCAACACAGTGTTTCCCTGTGTACTTTAACAGTGCTTCATTTAACATTTAATCTCCTGCATTTTCCACATACTCAAGTTGTAGGCTGTTTTTTCTACAAATTGCTTACATTTCATTGCCAAGATGGCTCAGTAATTTTTTCTAATTAAAGTACCTCAATATTTTTATTTTCCCAGCCTTTCATCCTAACTGTTTTTCAAAATTGATATTATTATACAGCTTTCCTTTAATCTGTCTCCACACTAATTTTAATTTTGAAAGGAAGGGATTCTATTAAATGCTACCAGAGATGCCTCTACCTTTATGCTTCATCACTAAAATCTTAAACATGAGAATTTGGTTCAGCAAAGACAATATATGTATTTCCACAATAAATAAACTTTTGTCTTAAAAAGATGTATGTTAGTCCTCCTTAGTAGTTTCACATGTGATTAAAGCCTGACTTGTTTTAAAACTAAATTAATCAACTTTATAAAACTCCATTTCTCATTAATTATAATAGCATGCCATTTATCCAGCTACTGGCCAAACTGAGTTTAAAGGGACAGTTCACTCAGGTGAATACCTGTGCATGTGTCTGTAGGATGGAGCCAAATATAATGTTTCTAGCTCTAGATAAATTTTAATCTTAATATCAAAGTGTTTTCCATTTCCTTGCAGAGTTAATAATGTAATTATTAAGATAACAATCTATCACGTCACCTCTACAAGATATTTTTCAAAAAAGGGAAAAAAGTCTTTCTGTTCCACTCAGAGCAATACTACTTTTTTCATCTCAGCAAGACGAACCATGTAATTTTAAAGATTACTCTGTTTAAATCTGAAAACATTTTGTTAGTTTAAATGGAATAAAGGAACGTTGAGTGTAATTCGGAGAAGAGAAACATGATGTTTCTCCACTGGGAGGTATTTAGGAGGTGATGTATCTTTAAGTGTCTCCGCCTCTGAATCCACCCACTTCTTGATAGCTGCAGCAGCCTTGTTGACTCACAGGAGCCGTGTTCGTGCAATAGCCAGCAATGAGCAGTATTTTTCAGAGATTTTAAGAGCACACCTCTGCTATGTATTTGGCATTCTAGCTCACTGGGGCTGAAGGTGTATGAAAGAAAGTTTTACGTTTCGAAGATATTGCAAAAGATAGTTCCTCCTCTCATCCTGGAAAATCCTGACGGACCAGTTGGATACCTTTCAGGCCTTAACCAAGAACTTTATCTTCTCATCCCACTGTCTTTTTTACAGTAGAAAGACACCTGAGACACCCTTAAGAACTGAGAATCTGACTAATTTAAACAGATGGCTAATCCCAGTGCTGTCTGCAATGGGCACCTACATCATCATCATCATCAGAAACAGAATAACCTCTTAAAAAGTGGAATCTATAAGAAAAATGGAATTACTAAAGGAATGAAGGTAAGGTTTGACTGTTTATGCTAATTACCTCAACACTGAAAACAAATAGGTAGTTGCAACATTGTTTATTAAGCTAGGTTTACAGCAGTCTTAGTCTCCATTGATGTATGGATTAAGTTTGTGTAAATTTGTAATCGTGGGACCTAACACTGCTTTTGTCTATCCTTCTAAACTGCAGAGAATTGCAAACGCTCATGCAAATACTGTTGGTTCCATGGACTAAGCCTCTAGTTCCTATCAAACACAACAAACACCTGCATGCTGAAATGTAGTAGCTTCCTTCTAAAGCTGAACTGGTGGTGGAGTTGACTTTGCAATGTATTAATCATTAGTGGAAAGCTGTTTTGTCAACCTAAAGTGTGTGTGGATTAAAGTGTGATTTGTTACTGAACATGTATAACAAGAATAACAAAATGTAGGCAGGGAAAGCTGCCTTTTCTTGATGTTTACATTACTGCAAGGTTGGTTTACCTCATGCTTGCACTTACCTGATGCCTGCTCTCCAGCCCTGTACTGCTTAAAATCCAAGGCAGTTTGCTTGCTGTTTTTTCAAGCTGTTCCCTTTGAAGCAGCACTTCTCACTTATGTGAACATTTTGGAACGGTTGGCATGTAGCATCCTAAATAATGAACCACAAAACCAACTTTGTTGAGCCCAAATCTTAGAGGTTGTCTTTCTGCAATACCTGCTCTGACTGGGAACTCACATTCTGTCTTGCAGTGTCCCAGTTCTGGATCTTGATGTGATCATTAGTTGAAAGCCTTGTAGTGACTAGAAAAGGGCTGGCTTTGCAGCATGGTGTGATGGTGAGAGCGGGATGGAGGAGGTTGCTTTTGGAGCCTGAGTGCTCACCTGACCATGCAGTTGGAAGCTCTAGACAAGCACTGTGGTGAGGGCTCCGCTGTTTTACAAATAAACTGCTATCTTCTATCTTTCTCTAAATGGGGCTCTCACACGCCTCAGCACTGTAATGAAGGCACGCCCAGTGTCATGCTTAATGATTGTCTGGCTTTAGGTGTCTCCCTTGGTATGAGCGTTTCCCAATCATTGGCTTGTGCTGGATGAAGAAAGCAAAAAAGTTTGTGCAATGATTGAAAAAGGCCTTTCTTGGATTTGCTTCCAGAAACCTAATCCAGCATATTTTTACATATCACATCTACCTTCCTGTTGCTTTATACATTAGCTATTTGCTTCAATGATGTTCTAAATCTTTACTTTCCATTTCAGTGACAAATTTCAAGGACTAAGCTTTGCTATTCAGTTACTGTTAACCTGCTGCAAATGAGTGATTTTGAAATCAGTAGACTCCCAGGAGGGGATTAATTAGGATTTCCTCCTTAATAGGAAAGCGAAGTAAAGTAAACAGCTAGAGAAGTAAAGAATAATATTACAGAGAAGGAAATTAATATTGGCCTGAAAGCAGTGGCAAAGAAAAGAAGGAATTAGTAGACACCCCTGCTAGATTAGTGAAGTCTTACAAGCATTGTATGGTTGAAGGAGAAGGTGTTTTACCCTGCTGTGGGATGTGTGAAAGTAGCACTGAGCCACTAGTAAATACCATCCCTGGCTGAGGAAGTGGTGAGGAAGTGAGGCCTTAGAAAGTTCAGGAGGCTTGTCAAAGGCATATTTGGTAAGTCTGGGTCTAGCACTGTGTTTCAAGTTACGTACCATTTCCCCTTTCTCGCTTCAAACACAGATTGGGAAAGTAGGAAACAATAACAGACAGGAGTGCTGCATGAACCAGGAATCTCATTCCTGGTAGGAATCTCCCCATTCCTGTCTGGTCTGTTTCCCCGCCCCAGCTGCCTCACCCTGCTCAGTGCTTATATGCTATTTTACAGGAACAGATACTGTTCCTTCCTCCCTGCTCTGTTTACATGCCTTGCTGCTGGAGGTGTGCAACTCCACACAGTCTTCTGGTGCATTTGTATTTGCAAGTCCTCATTGAGATGTGCTCCCACTTTACAGCTGGGATCTGAGGAGCAGGGAATATGGCAGCTGGGTGCACAAGGAAGCCTGCACAAGACCCAGACTCAGGTTTCTCATAATTCTAGTCGTTCTCCTCCCTCCTGCCTCTTTTGCTCTTTATCCACCTTGCCCTGATTTCCTGTAACACTTCAACACACACACACATATGTCCTCTACTGCTATTCAGTAAATTAATTGACCATTGAACTCTTTCTATAGGAGAAATATAGTGCTAGGATATTCAGGGGATGTGACTGGATGATGCTGGCTCTAGAACTTGAGACTTGTGGCAGTTCTGAAACTCTTGGGGTTAGTTACAGCTGTTTTGCTTTACAAGGAGGGGAGGAGGGAAACATGGTTTGAGAGAGGCACCTGGTGCAGAGGCTGCAGTGAGAGAATGGCACAGTGAAGGCTTCTAAGCCAGGATTATGTAGCAATAGTTGCACACAATTGAGTGATTGGAACATCAGGCTTTGCAGAAGTCAGCTACATAAACCCTTTTTTTCCCAGGGAGCCCACAGGAAGCACTGGCTTCAAGAAATGCTGGCTTTGGAAACACTGCTTTTGAAAACACTGGCTCAGGAACAATGTGTTTTGCATCTTAATGATGTAAGAACATTTTGTGTGTCTGCGCATGCATGACAGAAGTAGAGAAGCAATTCTGATACCACAAAACCCCCCAGGTTTCTAAAGAAAGGATTTTGTTTAATGGGTTGGGAAAGGTAATTAGGGATGATCAAATGTGGGGGAGTAGGGAAGCTCTTTGCTTCTAGCACTATGTGGCATACCAAGGACAGAAAGCAGGCAGCTGAGTGATAAAGAAGCAGTGAAGCATCCTACTGGAAGAGAAGTTGTTGCTTTTGGGAAGTGATAAACTGCTTTGGGGTGGGACTACTTGCTTGAATAGCTTCTGTGATTATTTTAAGTCTGACTCACTCAATTCTAGCTGATAGCACTGACTGTCATGTACTAAGGGACATCAGGCTTAACCAGGTCCCCACAGCCTTGCTGAATCCTGGCATTCTTTGGAAGCTGGGCCACAGTAAGACCTAAGCTTCGGGAGGTGGGTCATGTACTGTGTCTTACACTTTGTTAGTGCTTCTAACACAGTCAAATGCTTTGTGTTCTTCCAGAACCCATAGCCTGAACTTGCCTTTATCCAAAGCACAGTTCAATAACTAACCTACTTATTTATATAACTGTATTGACCAGGAGAAAATTTTTTCCTAGAGATGGTTTCTTTGCTGTTGTACTGCTGTTGACTGGGCGCCAATTATAGGGGACATTGGAGTTTTAAAACGACAAATGTATTTGTCCAGTGGAAACTTTTTTCCCTATAGAACACGTGCAACAATTTTATTTCTTTGCTAGACCATTTCCTTGGATACCTTAGCCTCCAAGACATTATAAAGTTATTCACAAATTCATTATTTTGCTGTTCTGCATTGAGAATGGCAGTGGCTTGTAAGAAACTTGCAGCCTTTTTCAGGGCTTTCAAGCTCCTTTCTGAAAGCAAGAAAAAGCCTGGGGTGAGGTCAAACCCAGTAACTTCTGTTCCACTTATGTGATGGACCAAAAATGTGATGGTCTCCGTTTGGGGCCTATACAACTCAGAAGATGTTTATATTTACTCTCTGTCCTGTGCCATCTGAAGCTCCTTCTAACTGTTCTACTCTGCTATTGATTGAATATTCCAGCATCCAGTTTCAGTCCCTTCCATGCTTTTGGCTCCCTCAGTTTTCTTGCACGCCTTTCTGCCCTACAATGTCATTTATTCCCTAATTAAGATCTTAAAGAAAACATTGATTGTCTAACAGGAGAGTCATGAAAGGAATATGCCATGCAACTGTTCTCAGTAATTTTCTTACGTGTCATAAAGGCCACCTGTAATTTCTTTGCTCTGTCCTCTCACAAATATAGACAGCACTTCATATGTTTTTGCAGAAGCTAGTGTAAATGGGGCATTTTGGCTGCAAACTCAATATAAATGTTAATGAGTCCTGCGGGAACAAAAATAAACTAATTCCCCCAATCAGAGTCATGCAATAAAGATTATTAATAAGGGACGAGTAAGGAGAGAGGGTTAAGGCTGATCAGGTTATAGCCTTTCCAACTGTTTGCAGCCATAATGATCTACCAACATAACAACCTTTTTCTGAAGTATCTTCACGTTTTGGTGTGGGTTTGGCTAAAAGCAACTGAAAGGGAACCTTATTGTGCCCAGCCTGTTTCACCTGTGGCAGCTAAGGCTTCTGGACCTGTCCCATTGTGCATGTGTTCCTGGAAGGGGCAATCCCCATAAACCCTCTGGGTTTCATAGCTATAGTGACAACAGGCAAAAAAAAATTGAGACTTGGTTTTCAGGCAGATTCTCTACCAATTAGTACACCTGTAGCTTCAGCTGCACCACAGATATGAATGACCTCCTCATCCTCAGTCCCTGCCTTCTTTTCTCCTTGGTTTCGAGTCCCAGAAATGTGTTGCTTTGCACCTGCACTCTCAGCTAATAATCACAGGTCTCAGATCCACACCCTTGTTTCTGTCATCTGCCCTGCTATGTGATGAGCTCAATGCAATGGAAGCAGGAAACACTTCTGCAACCTGAGATGTCACCAGTGTGTAGGCACATGTAACAGTCACTGATTCTTGTAGCAATGCTCTAAGTGTGTTGCATGAGACTTTACATGCAAGGCTGAGATTTTTCATATAGCTCAATATCTAAGTTTCCAGTTAGCCCTGTTCACACCTGGAAATCTCTAAATTCATGTAATTAAATTTTGGAAGTTTAAGCCCTGATAAAAATAGCATGTAGTGATTTACTTCAGCTTGAAAGATTTAGCATGTCGGGTCTTTAAGGACAACCTCCTCTTAGTAACAGGTCATCCTACTCATGAAAACAAGTATATGTATTGGGAGACTGGCTTAGCTAAGCAGATAAAAGCAGATAACCCACTGTGAGCTCCAGTGCAAAATAAATAAAGGCGGCATACAAGAGGTAGAAACAGGAAAGGGCTATGAAAGAGGAGATTGGA